ACAATTTAATTTAATTAATTTCGATATGTTCGGTTTCATTTAACGATGCCATTCTGCGGAAACTGTAATACTTAATAATATTTGACATTAGTTCTCAAGTCAGCATTTATAGATGTATAAAATGAGATTATATCAAGTCTGGAAATTACAAAATTTAAGTTTAACATTTCAATTCTTCAATTGATGTACATTGTGTATTACAATTATTGCTTAAAATTGAAGGAAGAATTGAAATATGCAATAATATACAGGGGGTTTCATTTAAAAAAAATAAAGTTTGATGTGCCACAACTTTATGACCGACACTGTATACTTAAATTTACTAGTAGCTAATAGCCTTAGGCATTTAAAAACCGATTATAACAGTATTACAATTTCGTCAAAATGACATCATTAAATGAAACTGAACATATCGGTATTAATTAAATCAAATTGTTTAAGTGATATGCTCAAAAGTCAATAACTCGGAAACGGTTGGTTTGAGGTACATTATGTGTAAGTATTTAGATTTTTGCTTAGAACTGAAGGAAGAATTGAAATATGCAATAATATACAGGAGGTTCTATTAAAAAAAATGAAACTTTGATGTGCCACGACTTTATGACCAACCCTGTATACATAAATGTATTACTCGCCAATAGACATTTAAAAACGCTATAATTATTGTATGCTTTAACTTTTTGCGGTACCTTGTATATTTTACCTAATAATCGACCGTTTCCATACATAAAAGCGACCCTGTATACTTTTTAAAAATTGACTTTGTAATCTCAATCTTGTAATTGGAATTTACGAGTACATTTATTTTAATCCATCTTCAAGATTTTGTTACTGTATGGTATATTTTATTTTGTAACGTGCTCCTTAATAAACCATGCAACATTTGTATAAAACTTTTTTTTCATATCTTCGACACGACGACGATATTGGACTTCCTCGCACTAATGGGCCACCCTGTATACAGGGTTGTTCACCACATACGACACGGAGTATTGTAGCTAAACGATTAGATTTTTACAAATTGTAAGTTTTGGGTTCGTTGAAGGACTATTAGAGCTACAATTTAAAAATAGTTTTACAAGATACAGAGTGTCCCAAATAAGTAAAAATATCATAGTTGTATTTTTTTTAAATGAAACACCCTGTATATTATTCTATTTTTGGATTCTACGATTGAAATAAAGGTAAATTTGATTAAGGTTTATCACACTTAAACTTTACCGTTTTTGAAATATTTTCAATTTTAAGAAATTGCAGTAAAAATTTTAATGCTTCATTTCTCCAAGGGTATCAAAGTTTTTAATACTAAATATTTACTGAAGATTATTTATTGATCAGATATTGTGTTGCAATAATAAAAATTTTACTACCTTATACAGAGTGTCCAAAAATTTATATTAAATAATTACTAGCTTTAAACGGCAATAACGTGTTTAAGTTAAATAGAACACCCTGTATATATTACGTGAATCATATGCACAATTTAATTGTCTATCAAATTTTATTATACCATTTTTTACCTATCTCTACAACTTTTCGTAGAAAATGCATTTTCTTATAATTTAGACCTCATTTATCACTATACCTATGGAATATTGACATTTCAGATTTTTTTTAACCAACATATATGCACAAAATGTACAGGTGGTAAATATTGCAAGCCTATTGGTATACCAAAAAAAACTATTTAAATCTTCATAAAAGAGTATACGAATTAAATATACCACCATTATTTCCGACCAAAAATTAGTTAATTACATACTTTTAAATTGTTTTAATTAATAAAGTATTCTAAATAAATGTGGATTTGGCTCAGAAATCAATATAATAATAAATTATGAAAATAAACGTCTCTGTTTTTATAAATCAGCATTCGTCAAAAAATGACATAAAATTTATAAGGCGTTACTTTTTACCACACTGTCTAATACACACACAAAATTCAGTTTTTTAGTATTTGGAGCAATTATTATTAATCAACATAAACAGTCAATTAATGTATTCTGAATACTGGGATCATATTAATTGGTCCTTTTTAACAAAAATATTTAAACAGTTTTTTTAATTTTTTTTATGAAATAAGCCAGCTATATCGACATCTTTAAAAATAATCGGGGTTGGGACACTCTGTATCTTGTAAAAATATTTTTAAATTGTAGCTCTAATAATCCTTCAACGAGCCCAAAACTTACAATTTGTAAAAATCTAATCGTTTAGCTACAATACTCCGTGTCGTATGTGGTGAACAACCCTGTATAGGCGCATTTACAATTCAACTTATGTCCTTGTTCACGAGTGTTTATAATATCTATTACTTACACTTTTAAATATTTTTCTCATTATCATGAAAGAGACCAGAAGGTTTGAAAAACCTACACATATCAATAAAGAAATGATTTGTGTAGGTTTCTAATGATATCTCTAAGTATGTACAACACGACCTAACTGGTAAACATAGGACTGTTTGTTTCCAATTATTGTTATAGTGGCCAGACAGTCCAAAGAACCCAAATCTGGAAAAAGTCACACTACCAAAACACTCTTTTTCACTCCACACAAAGAAAAAGAATAGTTAAGCAACTACTAACGGATATACAACTGTATTTGACAAAGCACTTAAGATTTTTTTATAGAATTACTTGATACTGACGTAAATTCCCTTATATAAATCTTTACCAGTTACAAAATATGCCTAAACAAAGACATACACTCCATAGAACAAACAATATTAATCTTATATATCTACAAAACAAAGATATTTAACATTATTGCATGTAAAACTTATAAAAAAAGAATTCTCGCTGACTAACACAAGTTTTAATATTCATATCATAACAGCAAATTGCTAATATCCATTAATTAAATCTGATATAGTACTACACTTTTTGTTACTTTCTTTAACCATAAACGCAAATTCACTCTCGATTGTAAAATAACACAACCATTTGTTTACAACTTAAGAAATCGAAATTATTTGCTAGTGGAAAATTAAATTATTTCTGATAGCTTATTCATATTTTTTAATTGTTTGTTTTAGAAATTTGATTTAGCAACTCTACAGAATCACAGTTTACAGAATACACAGGTTATAAGAAAATAGTATGTTTATGGCAAAGTTACTATATTAAACAGGTTGCCTCGTAACTTTTGAACCAATAGGAGCGAAGCGGCAACTACGTCACAGGGATGCTACAGAACGTATAAAATCATAGATAAAGGATAAAGGAATAAAAAAATGCAATGGACAAAGAGAGATAAATGAGCATTATGGACAATGTAATAAAGAAAACAAAAATCAAACAACTGAAAACTATGGACGCCATAAACAAACGAATATCGATTAGGAAATGCAATGTCGGACTGTCGGCAGTTTTTATCCCTTTATCTATGAGCGGTAGCATACCTCTGTGACGTAGTAGATGACGTTTCCGATAATGGCCGGCGGATCGAGTTATGAGACATTAACCTTATCTTTTAATAACCTTGGGTTTATGGGTTTACCAAATTTCAGTGGGTGATACCTACATCTACTACAAATGAAAATAAAAAAAAAATCCTATGCACATAGACCATATTATCTGCTTATGTAACTACAATGATACCCAATTGTTTTAATACCCGACATTCAATTAGTTTAGGTTAGGCATTACTTGATTTAGGCATTTACTTAGGTTGCATTACTTGACGTCATTTGTAAAAGTGAAATCATTGATTTTCAACATTTACAATAAAGGGTACTAAATGCATTTGGAAGTATAAGAAGAAGATAATATGTTCAAAGAGCTATAAATAAAATTGAACGAATAATAAATTTGTGCAATAGGCAGGGTGGTAACCCTTTCGAACATGTAGAGCATTACAAACTAGTTTGTAGAAGTTGATTTATTTATAATAAATAACGATTAATATTATGCAAATTATTATATCGTACACTGGGATTTCAAATTCATAATAAAAAAGTTGAAAATAGTATCTTTAAATTGCTAACCTGGATATTATTTATTTGAATCATTCAATTGGCTCGATTTTCCTTATTCAGTGTTAATTAGCGCTGATCAATATTGATGAAAATCTAAAAATACTATCAGATAGCCCTAATAAACCCTTTATCCAAATGAGAATGTGCAATTAGTTTTTTGATTTTCTAAAAAGTAACTACAGGAAAAAATAAAATTGATTTTCAAAAAAATCCGTTTTTTTTTCAAAAAACTCAGCAATCCTTGAAGTGTTTAAAACTTTTTTGATGGCATCTTGATAAACATTCCAAAGCGCAACTTTGCCCCTATATAACCATCTTCGTATCTATTACGGTTTCCGAGATACCAATGATCGTACCTCGAATTTGTAGCACCCTGTATATCTATTAGGTATGTAAAAAATACTCCTACCTATGTTATTGTTAAATATTTTTAATGACTTAAGTCTTTTCTAAAAAGCCTTTTTTAATGACTTAATTATTTTTCTGTTTCGGAATAAAGATTTAAATCACAAACCATTTTGAAAATTACTTAAATTTTAAGTAAGTAGCTTTCGAAAAACGACGACTTAAAACCAATATGACTTAAGTCATTAAAATTATTTAAATAAAAAAAGACTTAAGATTTCTCTGAGTTTACAGCTCTACTTGTAACTAAATTTTAACTGCCTGAATTTCCAGATTCAAAAACTGCTTTGGCTTTATTTGCTAAGTCAGTTTTGGACCTTTTTTTACACATATAATGTTTCGTGATAATGTACTTGAGTAGATCTTGTTGGTTTCGCATATCTAAAACTAGTACTTCTTGGATTTTAGTGACATTATTGCGAGTATCTTCTAGCACACACAGCTACGTACACACTGCAATCAAAGAATATACAAGGCGGCATGTAATTTTAACATTTCCTTACCAAGATATCTACGTAAAATAAATGTGTGCTAGTACTGAACCGTAAAAAAATATTACATTATTTTATAACGTATTATTTAAATTATTTAATTGATTACTCATTCTCTTTTGCAGGTGTTCGTCTTCAACAAATCCAGCTACCGCCAAATAAAGGATCGGCTGAAAAACCAAGGCATATCGAACATAACCGAAATGGAACTTCATCAGTACTTTAGTCCTTGGAATGCCGAATTAGTAGGCAGCATCAAAGTGGCCAGTGGCAACCAGACTGTAGAGAATTGGGCCTCCTCTAGACTACGAGCAAATTACCTGTTTGGTTCTTTCCCTACTTTATTGAAATCGAAAGGAGATCCCAGACTATTAGGGAAGTTGAATAGTTTACTTAAAAACGAGGCCATCTTACAAATGGAAATGAGGACCCTGTCCGCCGCTATCGAAGATCCTTCGAAAAGGAAATGGTTTGTAGAAGTACTTGACAATTTCCTCAAGCTATGGGAGAGCAACTTATAGTCAAGCGCGACCTTAGGACGAATTGAGGAGAATGACTGAATATTAACGTAATTTTTTCAGAAGATCAAAGTACAAAATATTTATTAAACTGTTGTACATTATACAGACATTATTTCTGACTTATTTTAGGAAACCAACAGAATATCTAGTATTTTTTGAAATTTTAGTATCTATTGCCAAAGAATATTATAGTAATATTTTTTGGTATAACTTTATAGAACCAAAGAATACTGTGCTATACAGGGTGTAAAAAATAGGATACCAAACTTCAGTCGGTGGTACTACAGATAAAACTAAAAGAAAAAGTTCCTATGAAGGTGCTTCCTGGGGATATGTCTATTAAATTTTTTGATTATGTAACGGGCACTTTGTTCACTCACTTGATGCGTCGAACTGCTTGAATCCATTTTTTGCTTTTAATCAAATCGGTGTGAGAAGCTGTGAAGCTATAAAATGTTGATTCGGAAGAGTTGAATATCCGAGAGAGTTGAGTTATTGAATGTTATTGCACTCAACAACGACGCCCCCTTACGGGTTAACATTTTTTCGGCAATTTTATTATCATTTGAAATTGTCAGAACACAACGCGAGGGCCAGTTCAAGTTCTTTTTCACTTAATTTTTATTAGAACACTCAATTTTTACGCGAATCAGCGTTACATCACACAAACCTAGTACCTGAGTGTTTTATAGTTTCAATAACTGCACTAGCAAAAAATTAAAATACTGAAATATTATGAGAAAGCCACGATTTCAATTTCTGGTTTCTGCCGTATAGAGCGCTACGGTCGGAATTTTTTTGAAATCAACTGAATGAAATATGCACCAAGCCTATACAAAATTTATTTCTTCCATTATAGGAGCTACAACGCACTATCGCCGGACCCTGTATGCCAATAAAAAATGTTTGCCAAGTACAGGGTGGGTCAAATTGGACGCTTTTAAAGGGAAACACCCTTTTCTATAGGAGATAGACGAAAACTAATATGGGTGTCTGAAGCTCAATTTCTATCAAAAACCTGATGGCGAAAACCGCACATCCATATCTGTTACCGTTTGGGAGTTACGGGGTGTTTTTCAAAAATGTACATTTTTAAAAAATCGCTATAACTTTTTTGCTATCAAAAGTTCTGTATTTTTGTGAAAACATTTCCAAAGCACCTTTTTACGTAGAATTTAATGGTTTAAGTATAATTTTTTTAAAATTAATAATTTAAGAATTATCAACTATTATCAAATTTGATTTTTTATATGGAACACCCTGTATATTTTTAATTAGTTGAAAAGAATTTAAAATTACCTTTCCAAAAATATAGTATACTTCATATTTTGCTCGATTCCTCTTCGAGATATAGAGTTTTTAAAAATTCGCCCACTTGGAATAAGTAGACTTTGAACGACGCTGGCTGTAATGCAAAAAAATTCTAGCTGTGACCAGCAATTAAAACGAAAATAATAGTTACAATGAGAGATGCAGAATTTTATAACAATTTAAACTATATTTAGCAACATCAACATATTTAAACTATATCTAATAATAATAAAAATTAATAACCAACCAAAACATGAGATTTTGCTACAGGTATTCGACATGTATTGGTTGCTCATCAATAGATATCTTCAGAGCTGCAGTATCCAGGACTATGTTAGCCATTTGGATCGCCAACCTCCGCGCGGAGACGGCGACTTAAGAAGAAGAAGATTCGACATGTCGACCGTCTTCTGTTATGGACAGACGGGACCGTTTTTTAACATTTCTCGCCGAATTCATTAACTCAGTGAGGGTGAAAGATACCCTGACCTAACCGCCAAGTACTTCTAATTCTTGTTTAGATTATACGGGCAATTTTAAAATAAGAACCTTTATTCTTCTGCAAAGATAAAAAATCAACTAAGGATAACAGGCATTAAGTCCGGCGACCTCGACGGCCAACGGCTGGGATCTTAGTTAGCTATTCAATTATTCTGGAAATTAGTTGCAAAAATTTGCTGATAACTTCAGCGTTTTGAGGCGGTGCGTGCCTCATTTTGCTGGAAAAATATGTTTTCGAGTTCCATTAGAGGCAGATCACCAATAAGGGGTTCAAAGCCTACTAGTTAAAAGTGACGAACTTATAAAAATTCTGTATTGCGAAGGGGACTATAATGAAATATCAAGTGTGCTATATATATTTTTGGAAAGGTAATTTTAAGTTCTTTTCACTTAATTAAAAATATACAGGGTGTCGCCCATAAAAATCAATTTTTCTGTTGATAACTCTTAAATTATTAACTTTAAAAAAGTTATACTTAAACCATTAAATTCTACGTAAAAAAGTGCTTTGGAAATGTTTTCACAAAAATACAAAATTTTTCCATAGAAAAAAAGTTACAGCGATTTGTTAAAAATGATATTGATGTGCGGTTTTCACCATCATGTTTTTGATAAAATTTCAGCTACAGATACCGATATTAGTTTTCGTCTATCTCCTATAGAAAAGAGCATTTCCCTTTAAAAGCGTCGAATTTGGCCCGCCCTGTACACGAGTCGTCAGAGTCCTTAATGCTAAACGAAGAGCACCATTCGTAGGTAGTCATGTGTTAAAGTTACATATCCATTAAGATAAAATAATTTTGTGGAAAACTACCCATTATCCAAATGGAAAATTCGCTGTCAGAATAGTTACGGATTTTTACTCTATCGCCATTCACTTTGGCATTAAAAGGTGTGTAAAAATATCTAATTCCAAGGACAGTATTTTCACCAATGTTCTTAGAAATGAACAAAATATATTATTTTTATCCACTTATATTATTTTTTTATCTACTTATCCGAGTACTTATCCTTTCGATAGGGACTTTTTCTTTTACTTTAGAATCACCCACTGAAATTTGATAGACTAATTCCTTTACAGCCTGTATAGGATTTATTCTTTGAAAGAATTTACTCGGAATGAAAAAAATATTAAAGCTTCATTTAAAGGCAATATTCAAATAAATAAAATCAAACATGACATTTCCGAATTTCTCTATTAACAATAAGAGAATAGCTATCATAGTTAAAATATACTTAAACCGGAAACACATTTTATCACGTAATGTGAGTTCCTGTTCAAATGTGATAATAAGTTGTGATATATATATATATACTCCTACATAGGTTAACGTTCAGTATTTTGTACGAATATTTAAATAAATTGTACATACACCCATTTCTAGCATAATTTTTTATACCATACGATCGAGAAAAAAAACCGACTTCAGAAATATGGCTTGGAAATAAAGTTTGCTGTTATTTTGTGTGTAAAATTATTTGTCCCTTGAGTGTCATTTCTAAGCCAACGGGACGGTGGTTTTTTCGATCATACGGTATTAATAAAGTAAGGGCAAAACTATTTACCTTTAGCACTATAACATAAACTATCAATATTTTCTTCAGTATTGAAAAGAAAGGCCGATTTATTTTTTCTACAAAACTGTATTAATACACATCAGTCAGGCCATAGCTTAATTGAATAAGCTGCTATAAGTTCTAATGAGGTAAAATGACTAAAATTCTTAATGATTTTTTTTAACAAATACTAACTTAAAGAAAATGAAATACTTCATTAGCTACTGAAAGTATTACCACAGGTCACTGGCACTATAAGAAAACCTACAAAATAAAGTAATTATTGTTTGTAAACACTGCTGCTTTAATCCAACGGAGATCAACTTGTCAGCAGTGATTTACTAATAAACAAATTTGCCTAACAGACAAAAAAAATGCTTAATGTTTCGGGAAGCATAATATCTTTTCCCGTCGTCGGGTCGGAAATAAAAAAAAACTATTTAAAATATCCTTTGAATATCTAAATCCAACTATTCAAAAACGCTTTAGTATGACGTTCTGTTAAAATTTATAGCTTTGTTCGGGTTCTTGTTATTACCGATTCTGAACCGTCCTAGAACTCTACAGCGCATGTGTAACTGAAATAACATCTTCATATTTCCTTCTGCGCATGCGTATCACAGTTCTAGGACGGCTCGGAATCGGTGAAAAGAAAAACCCGAAGTTGCCCGATGTAAGCTTATATCAAGTTCAACTTCAAAGCCTACTATTTACTATTTTGTAGGTAGAGCCTGTGGCATTAATTTTTGTATTTTAATACCTTTCTAATTATCCTTTTGATTTAACAGACCTACTTAATTATACATAAGCTGCAAAAAGTGCCAACATAGTCAATTAATTCTAAATTATAAGTACTTCATTTGAGACTCAATGCATTTTATTTTCTGAAATTTGCCCACTGTTCGTCCTTATTTGACAATTATTTAAAAAATGTATATAAATTCTTGTTACTAGAAAACTTAGCTACTTAGTAGTTACTAGTTCAATTTAAGTTGTATATTATTGTGGTGATTTGAATAAAAGCATACCTATTTGGTTAGTTTTTTTATTGTATTTAATATACACTTCTAAATTATAGATGATTATTATGTTAGTGCGAATAAAACTTTGTTTAGTAAATATAGGTAAATTTAATTTGTATTTTATTGTGTCCTGTATGATAGAAATTAAGGTGTGACTGTAAACATGATTTAAATAAAAATGTGCCCATTTTGATAGAATATTGAATTTATTTATCTTTTATCAACCTAATACATCCAAGGAAAAAAAGAAAATTTAAAAAGTGTATACAACATTCTTGTTGCTAGAAAACTTAGCTACTTAGTAGTTACTAGTTCACTTTAAGTTGTATATTATATTATTATTAGGAAAATATACATGTCGAGTCTTAAATAAATGCAAATATTTTCAGGGCCGGTAGATCTCGATAAAAGAAAAATATGTTCTCCTTACCGTTTTTCAAAATAAGTTCAAAATAACCGAGAAGTTTGAACATTTCAAAAAATGATTTATTTAAAAAAAAATTGAGCCGCCGGATTTTTTCTGTACTTGCATCCCTTTTAGTTCCGTAACCTTCTAAGGCCGTTAACCATGGTAATATAAGAGATTAAGAAATTATACCGTAGGAAAATTTGCGGTGAACACGCAAATGTTTTCTATAAAATACAGGAAAATATCTCTTGCGATAAAAATCTTATACACGTGTTCTTGGGGTCGACCTAAGCGTTAACCTAACCCTAAAAAGATATGCATTTATTTATTTTAAGTTCACCCTGTATAATATAATAATTTCTGATATAACTTTTTAAGAAAAAATAATTTAAGGTTTCCTAATAAAATAAAAAAAATGTTCAATATTTAAACTAAAGATTTTTTTTTAATTAAAGATTTTGTTTGTTTTATTTGACTTTCCTTAATTTTTTGGATAAGCTACTCTAGATATGAGAAAAAAATAAACTCGAAATTAAATAGAAAACCCATAGTTTAATTTACAACCAACGGATTTTATTTTTAAGTTTTACAAATAACTTATTTTCAGGGTAATTTTTGTAGTTAAAAAGCTTAGCTAATTTAGCAACTGTAGTCAAATTCAACATATAAATTATTGTGTACAGGGTGGGCCAAATTGGACACTTTTAAAGGGAAATACCCTTTTCTATAGAAGATAGATGAAAACTAATATCAGTGTCTGGTGCCTAACCGTACTTCGATATCTGTTACCGTTTCGAAGTTACAGGGTGTTTTTCAAAAATGTGCATTTTTAACAAATCGTTGTAACTTTTTTGCTATGGGAAATTTTGTATTTTTATGAACACATTTCCAAAGCACCTTTTTATGTAGAATTTTATGGTTTAAGTATATTTTTTTTAATTAATAATTTAAGAGTTATCAACAGAAAATTGATTTTTATATGGGGCACTGTATATTTTTAATTCATTGAAAAGAACTTAAAATTACCTTTCCAAAAATATAGCATACTTGATATTTTGCTCGATTCCTCTTCGAAATAAAGAGTTTTTAAAAATTCGCCCACTTTGAATAAGTAAGCTTTGAACGGAACCGGCCGTAACGCAGAAAAATACTAGCTGTGCAGCAATTACAAAGAAAATAATACCGTATGATCGAATAAAATGGGCGTCAACGATGGCTATGAAATGAAGATCGCTGTCATTTTATATGTAAAATTATATGGGGAATGTCATCGATCGTCATTTTCAAGCCAACTGGACGCCGGTTTTTTTCGATCATACGGTATTTGCTATGAGAGATGCAGAATTTTATAACAATTTAAACTATATTTCACAACACATTTAAACTATATCTAACAATAATAATAAATAGCAATCCAAGCTATTCAAAAATTATTCTCGAAGTAGGCTTCAAAAAATTGCTAATAACTTCAGCATTGTGAGACAGTGTCTCGTCTTGCTGGAAAAATGTGTTTTCGAGTTCTATTAGTGGCAGATCAACAATAAGTGTTCCAAAGCCTATTAGTTAAAAGTGATGAACTTTTAAAAATTCTGTATTTCGAAGGAGACTATAACAAAATATTATGCGTGCTATATTTTTGGAAAGGTAATTTCAAGTTCTTTTCAGTTAATTAAAAATATACAGGGTGTCCCAAATAAAAAAAAATCAAATTTTCTGCGGATAACTCCTAAATTATCACTTTTAAAAGAAATATACTTAAACTATTAAATTTTATGTAAAAAGGTGCTTTGGAAATGTTTTCATAAAAATACAACATTATCCATAGCAAAAATGTTACAGCAATATGTTAAAAATGCACATTTTTTAAAAACACCCCGTAACTCCGAAACGGTTACAGGTATCGATGTGCGGTTTTTATCATCATACTTGTGATAAAAATTGAGCTCCAGACCTATATTAGTTTTCGTCTAACTCTTGTAGAAAAGGGTGTTTCTTTTAAAAGTGTCCAATTTGACCTACACTGTATAATATAATTTAAAGTGTAAAGTATAAAAAAAGTTGTAGTTTGTTAGAATTTTTATTAGAAAAAAGTATTACACGTAAGCAATATAACAAAAACATAAAAATATAAATTAAGATCAGAGTAAAAAAATCTTATACAAATATTAATTTAAATAAAGATTAGAACGTCAGTCAAATTTTCTTGATATGGACATCTGCACACCAGCTTGTAAATTTCTACCCAACTTTTTTGAATTTACCACCATTATCACAGGAGTTTCTACTCTAACCATTCTAAACGAGAAATTCTAAAATTTCATAAACAAAATTTTTAACTTCCGTAATACAAATGCCTGAGATTTGTAATGGTGACAAAATTAAAAATAATATATTCAGGGTGTCCAACAATTTCACAAGAAATCAGAATTTTTCCAAGGAAGAAATTTAGAATAATTTTTCTTAATTGTACAGGGTGTTTCAAGAAACACATGTCACTCACTTAAAAAGAAGATTTATTCTTCATAGCAACATGGGTCCGATTCTGCTTTGTTTCGTAGCAACAGGTGGTGGAACTCTTAATATTTTTTCAATTTATTATAATTTTCTTCCAAACACTTTTAGCGATTCGAATGAAACTTTTTACTATAGTGCGACATATTTTAATGCTAAAAAAGTGTCGCCATATTCACCAGAGACGTGCATATGAGTTATTACTGATTTTTTTTTCAAAAAAGGCATGTACGCCACTGGCTTTTTCTTTTCTTGTTAACAAAATAGTACAAGCCGTTTAATGCTGATTAAAAATTGTATCTTGATATTTTGTCCGTGTCAACCTGCTTGGCGAGACAAACGAAATTTTATTAATTTGCTTTGATTAGGGCTGTAACGAGCGCTGTTTTTTAACCTGACCGAGTACCGAGTACTCGGCTAAAAGTAATGGCCGAGTACCTAGTACTCGGCTACCGAGTAGTCTTGACAGTTATGCGACCTTTATCAATACAGGCAGTCCTCGTACTTACGGCAGGTTAGGTTCTTCAAAACACCGCCTTAAGTCGAAACGACGTAAGTCGAATCTTATTTTATCATAAGATCCTATAGAAAATGGGGAAGTTAGGTACTTTTGTAAGATAAAAATAAAATAAAACAAAGAGATATCCTTTGTATATATTAATATTCTGGTATTTTTAAATAATTATTGAGGTATGAGAAATAGTGTATTGTATATCTAGTTAAACTTATAATAATACAAAGAGCAAAACAAAACAAAAAAAACAAAAATATAAAAAACGAATTATATTTTAGAAAGTATTTTTTTAAGAAAAGCAAATCAGGGCGGGTATTTTTACAGTTTCGCTTGTTTACGATCTAGTCATAAAAAGTATTTTTAACTATCTATAATAGTAAATATAATACTATCTGGCAACCACAGAAATACCATAGAATAAAGTAGACATATTTATAAAGTAGATATTTTTTTTTGGTTGGGACATATATTGTGGGTGTCATCAAAAGTCGTAATAGTTACTAATTAAGTAATAAGCAACACTATCCCGCTTTTTCATTATGAGGATCCGTCGACCCTTCATATATGCTGCTAAAATTTTATTGTTTATGTCCAAACTTCTTTCAAAATTTGGATCGTTCTTTTCAAAAAATGACGTAACTCGAAACAGTGGGACGTACAACTTAACAAGTATAGCTAGAGACGTGAGAAATATAAAACAACACGGCGACCGGTGCTAACCCCAAGTCTCTTCCTATATATTTGTACAACTGTAACTTTGAGGAATAGTGACAAAAATTTGTTCGACGTAACTCGAAACGACGTAACACGAAACGACGTAAATCGATGACTGCCTGTATATACTAATTATACTATACACCATAACATAATATATTTTATACATAATATAAATATAAATATATAATTTAACATTAAAGAAAGCTAGTTAAAATTCCCGGAATTCCCCGGCCTTAAACCAATGATCTTGTTTGTTTTGCCTATGATTGGCGAGCGGCTGGGATTCCCCGACTACAAACCAATGACCTGGTTTGTTTTTCTTATGGAGATATTGTTTTATTCTGTGGTTCCCCATGCAAACTGATATTTCTAATGTGCTGGTTCTGAATTGATTCTTTTAAGGTGCGGTGGCGACGTTGATTTTGTCTTAAGCAAAACTTATATGTGTAACTAATTTAAAAGTCAAAAATAATTCAAACAATTAATACTACCCTTTAAAGTTATATTAAAATGAGTGACAGTGCTGACCTCTTTTAGATTATAAGTATTAAATTATTATTTCACTGTGTTTGTGTTATTACTTATATTTATTATTATTACTTTGCTAAAATACATTAATTAAAGTTATGAATTAATAACTTTTTATTTATTTTATTATTTGCCACTGTGAGTCTCATTTCTATCTGTTTTGGACATGCATAAATGGATTGTTTCTATTACTATACTTTACTCGGCCGAGTAAGGCCGAGCACCGAGTACATATTACTCGGTTAAAATCCTAGCCGAACACCGAACTACTCGGTACTCGGTGCAGCCCTTGCTTTGATCCAAGTCTAATAGCAACCTTTAAAAAATCTTTAATATCATTAACTTGCGAAACTTTTAAATAAGTCCTCATTGATTCTATCAAGTTCCTATCAACATGGGTATGGAATAATATGGTTTTAAAGCTACAGGGTGTTAAAACTTCTTAAAATTAGGTCTTTTATAATTATCTTAAATGCAATTATTTTTTTATTTGGATTTGCTATAGATTGGATTAATAGTAATAATAACTAATAGTAATAATATTTAATAATAAATTAGATAAAATAAATAATTTAGAAATTTTAATTTTATTAATCCTGATTAATAAAATTGCGTTTATCTCATCAAGGAAATCGAAATCGACAAAATACCAAGATACAAATTTTAATTGGCGTTAAACGGCCTATAAAATTTGGATATTAAAAGAAAAAAGTCAGTAGCGCACGTATTATTTCCAAAAAATATTCCAATGATAACCCATATGGACGTCCCTGATGAATCTGTCGACACTTTTTTAGCATTAAAGTATGTAGCACTGATAGTAACTTTTACAAAATTTTATTCCAATCACTAAAAGCACTTAGAACAAAATTATATTAAATTGAAAAAAAAAATTAAGATGTTGATATGAAAAATAAATCCTATTTTTACGTGGGGAATCTCCCCACGAGAGATGGCACATGTTTTTTGAAATACCCTGTATAATAAATAAAAATCCTAATTGTTCCAAATATATTGGTACACTGTGTACAGGGTGTCCCACTAAGAATAGCTCTCGGCTGTATCTCGGAAAGTATTAGCCGTAGGGCTTACGGAAAAAAACTATTTATAACTAAAGGAGCTATGATAAATCGCTGAAAATTATTTTCAAGTTTGTAAAACGGCCGCTAGGAGGCGCAACTGCTATGAAAAATAAGAAAATAGAATTTTTACAGAATTTTGCCTAGATAATGGGTACTATAAATAATAGCTTCATAATCTTCAGTAAATTTTGGATTTTCTTTGTTAGAGCCATTTTCCCCTATCTGCTAAAATAAAGTGGTGGGGGAAGGTTAGATCTATCTTTATTTAAATATTAATAACTCCGGACTGGATGATCAGAATACAACAAACGAGGGCTCGTTTAAAAGAGCGTTTCTTACTCTATATTATACCATAAAAATAATAATAATAAGGTTTTGAACGTGGACGCTAGGGGGCGCTTTCTTACATTTTAACAAACATAGCGCGTTTTTTCAAAAAAATTAAATACGATAGTATGTGTAATTTTAGCTGATAGTAAAGAGTGGGAAAAGCTTAAAAAATCAGCGAAAACCGCATCTTGATATCTTCTTTCAAACCGAAGATATTAGCAAAATTATAATAAATACCAAAAAATAAGTCCTTAATTACCTTATTTTTACAATACGGTATCAGTAGCCCTCTTGATTATGCCCATTCTAACAAAATAATAAGATAGAAACAGTTAGTTAATTTTAAAATCGACGAAATACCAGAATACCATAATACCAGATGTATTAATATCTAATAATTAAAACATTAATAACAGTGAACAAGAAATGATGGTTGAGTGAAGTCATGGTAGGCTTTGGAAAAAAGTTGCTTTTCGCGTAATAGTATAAACGTCAAATTTTTATTAGATCAACATTTTGATTGCCTTAGCAGCGTTTTTTTATCTTTTAATTGTTTTTTCAAAATGTCTTTATTATTTGAAGTAGTTGAAGTTATTGGCATTTTGAAAAAGGAATCAAAAGATAAAAAAATGCTGCTAAGACTATCAAAATGTTGATCTAATAACAATTTGACGTTTATACTATTACGTCAAAAGCAACTTTTTTTCAAAGCCTACCATGACTTCACTGAATCATCGTTTCTTGTTCACTGTTATTAATATCTTAATTATTAGATATTAATGCCTCTGGTATTATGGTATTCTGGTATTTCGTCGATTTTAAAATAAACTAACTGTTTCTATCTTTTTTTTTTTGTTAGAATGGACATAATCAAGAGGGCTACTGATACCGTGTTGTAAAAATTAGGTAATTAAGGGCTTATTTTTTGGTATTTATTATAATTTTGCTAATATCTTCGGTTTTAAAGAAGATATCAAGATGCGGTTTTCGCTGAATTTTTAAGCTTTTACTACTCTTTACTATCAGCTAAAGTTACATATACTATTGCATTTAATTTTTTTGATAAAACGCGCAATGTTTGTTAAATTGTAAGACAACGCCCCCTAGGGCCTACGTTCAAAAGCTTATTATTATTGTTTATATGGTACAATATAGAGTAAGAAACGCTCTTTTAAACGAGTCTTTGCTTGTTAAATTCCGATCATCCAGTCCAGAGTTATTAATATTTAAATAAAAACAGATCTAACTTTCCCCCACCACTTTATTTTGGTAGATAGGGGAAAATGGCTCTAACAAAAAATATTCAAAATTTACTGAAGATTATGAAGCTAATACTTATAGTACACCTTATCTAGGCAAAATTGTGTAAAAATTCTATTTTCTTATTTTTTGTTGCAGTTGCGTCCCTTAACGGTCGTTCTATAAACTTGAAAATAATTTCCAGCAATTTCTCATAGCCTCTTTAGTTATAAATATTTTTTTCCGCAGCCCCTACGGCTAATACTTTCCGAGATACAGCCGAGAGCTATTCTTAGTGGGACACCCTGTACAAATCCGATACATTTACTTGATCATGCCATATTAATAATACCTATATATGCATAACTTCATTTTAAAATATCATAAATATTTAAAATGCAACTTTAATATTACATACTTACATTGTCTTTATAACTAAAATTGACATCTGTAACAAAAGGTTCGGGAATTGCAACTGAATCACCAATAATCACCCCTTTTCCGTCAGCCAAATTAAAAACAGTCGTTACAATAATACTTCCATTTTTATCTACTGAACAAAATGTGCTAAAAAAGTTTGTCTATAATACTAGTATAAAATTCTACTGCAATCCCTTACAATGGAACGGTATCTTCATTCCTTACAGAACAGATAACTTTCCCCAATATAACTTTTTCTTCATTTAATCCAGGTTTCATGCTGTTGTATGATATTTCAGTCAGTTTTGCTTGTTCTCCTTTAGATGAGATATAACTACCACCTCCATAAGGCCCCAACTGTTTTGAGTCTATTGACTACAACAAAAATTGTATAAAATAACAGTTGTCGAATACCAAATTTTACTGTGTACATACTGTTAATATCTGATGTAATTTCTTCGGTTTAAGCTTCCCTTTAGTTGTAACCAGATCCTGAACTTCCTGTAAGTACCTGAGCAGTTGCTTCTCCTTTTCTCCAGGTTGCTCCCAGGTAGGATCGTAAAGAGAAGCTTCGTTAAAAGATTCTAGAGCTAATTTGTATTCTTCCTGATATTTGAATGTCTAGAAATTGATCATGCTAACAATAAAAATTGAAAAGTTTTCCTTATAAATTTACAAAACTTACTATTCCTTTATTATAATGCAAATCCGATGTGCTTTTGGCAACTATATCTTTTTCCTAAAAAGACAACATTAAAAAAATAATGTATTTAAATTTCAAACATCATACTGCCTGACTGTAGGCACTTAGACACTGTTTTAGTGTATTTGGATGTTGTTGAATACCAAAAAAGTGAGATAGATAAGCATTTCCTAATATAGCCCATGATAAACCATCATATGGGTCTAACTGTATTGCTTCCTTTGCAAAACTTAAACCCTTCTCAATGTTCTCTATTTTTTGCTCCCTGGTAGTGTAATTTTCTTGTCTGATCAAAATAGACAAATTTCTTAGTGAAATTTTGTTTCTTTTCTACCTCAAAAAAATTTAAAAATTCAGTATCACATTGAATTAAATTTAATGCATCTCCGTTAATTTCTCTTTAAATCTTACCTCCTTAAGGGCACCTTCAAAGCAACTTTTAGCTTTCACTAAATCATCATTTTTGCAATAACATTCCCCTAATTCATTCCATGCATCGACTAGCTTAGGATCCAACTTAATTGCCTTTGATAGCAATAATTCGGCATCTTGAGAATACGTTGGGTACACATTAAGTAATTTCCCCTTTAAAAAGTTATAGTAAGCTTTACTAATTTTCAGTCCTAACTTTTCGTGTTTATTAAAAATCTCTACATTCTTATTTATCAAGGAGGCGATGTCTGAATTTTTGTTGATGGCATCTTGTATTTTATGCGTTTCAAAATACCTATCCTTATAAGAGCATGCCTGGTCGACAATAGTCTAAAAACATAATAAAACCATCCCTAAAGACTTCGCTATAAATAAAGTTTATGATAGGTATTTCAGATGAAAAAATACAGAAAAGCACATCTGTTTATAAACCTACTTGTAAAAAATTAAGTAAGTCATCGTGGTCCTCGGCACACTCACATTTCTCTTTATAATCGTGTAAACTCATTTTACTATCCAATAAAATATAAAATAATTATTTATTTAATTCATCATTCTTTATTCTTTATATAAAAAAGAACGTCCAAAATTGGAACAATTAAAGGTTATGAAAGAATAATCACTGTCAAAAAGATGACAATTGTTTTTTTTGAAATTAGATAACCAGAAATACAAAAAAATTATTGTGTTTGCTAAGTTAGACAACTAGAAATACAACTTGAAAATTTATAATCTCTCCCATACTACCCAATGTATGTATACTCTCTTATCTGTGCAATATATTAAAAATAATATTTTTACCAAAATGAAATACCATAGGACAGAAAAAAGATGTCTTAGGAATGAAGACAACATTCAAATATAGGTAACTATACGCCGCACGCCGCACAGTGGGGTATTTGACACTGATAATTGATCAAATTTTTTTTATGTAGACCTTATATAAATTATTGCTATTTTCAATTAAAGAGGAAATAATATGAACAAAATAAAGGATAATTCGTCGATTATAAAAAAAGAAAGAAAAATCATTGTTCCAGTATTTCCACGGTCAGTGCCAGTAGTAATATCGCAACTACTACTACTAATGCTACGACTGATCCGCGAGCAATGCCCATACCACTAAAGTCGCTACTAATGGCAAATTATGCTATACTGCTAATGGCACTAATGCGATCGCTTTGTACACAACAATGCCATCGCGGTTTACACCTCGCATTAGTATATCACTGATTGGCAAATCAGAGGAAACCAAGAATGTTTTTCTCATTTTATCAGCAAAATCGCAAAAAGTCGCAGTATTTTATTTTACTGTATGAAAGCCCAATGTTTACTAAGTAAAACGTATATAGACAATATGCTGAATTCTTCGAAATGCGCAACTAAATCTCTAAGTATAATAAAAATGTCACAAATTTAATCAAATTTTCTGAACGCCTAACTTTTAGTTGCAAAAAAAAATCGTTAGTATAGAGAATATCAAAATAAATAATACGTTTTTGTAGAATACATACCTGCAGCTTGCTGAGCCATTTTGAATCAAAACGATAATATAAACGTAAAAAGAGCACAAGAACAACAATTTATAATTTTAAACATAAAATTTAGCCGTTTACCTCTTATCTGTGAGAAGTAACAACTTTGACGTTTCGTTGAAACAAATGAATGCAACTAAACACACCCATAGCAACGCCATTCATGGCAGAGATGATTTAACTTATCATTTATCTTTTTTTGGGAAATCTTAAACACATTTGCTTTTTCGAATTTCGATCACCTTTTTCATGCTAATACCCCACCGAGCGCCGTTTTGTTTCCGATAATGTACGGTATCTTAAAATCAAAACCACGGTAATAAAAGTACCTGCTATAGATTTTAGGTATTTATTTTTATGTAATGTTTTTATAAAGTGTATTACCAAAACATTTAGGTCAATACATCTATGAGGAGTCAGGTAATGCTAGAGTTAACAAAAAAACTAGATTACTTAGGCTTATCTTAAATTTACAGATTAAAAAAACGACTATAACACACAGGCAATGACATATTAGAAACAAAAAATATGACTAATATTGCAACATACTACTCTAAAACACAATCTATGTATAATCAAAATAAAGTTTTATAATTTTTTTTTTAATATATTTCCAGATTACTTTTATGGATTATAGACAATATCTTAAAATGAGTAACTGATCTTTAATAAAAATTCATTTATTTTCTTAAATAAAACTTTACAAAATTCAAACTAACCACTAAATTAAAAATATACAGGTTGAGCCTGCAATTTCATTATATTATTTTTGTTATGTTACAAAAATTAATATAATATAATCTATTATATAAAAGAATAAATGATATACTTATATTAGTCTGCCTGACAAAAATGATCAGCAATTAACATTTTAAAGGCCACTGTGATGTCGGTTTTTTTTGTTGCAAACAGTACATATTTTTGGAAGTAAACACAATTCAATAAAAAATCTCTAAGCTAAAAGTATATTTGAAACACTCTATACATAGAAATTTTATTATTTAAATAATGTTTTATAGTACTAACGAAAAACATTAATTTTCAATTAAAATTTAAAATGGCTATAAATACAAATATCGGCAGTTTTGGCAAATATAATTTAAATCTATTTTATGCAATTGTTGACTCACCCTGTACAAAATTATATAAAAAGTAATTTTGGTATTCTGCATATATCAATCTAAAAAATAAGTACACCCTTATGAGCACATGTTTCAGGAGAAATTTTTGATATTTTTTATTATTTTCTATAAATTATATACAATGTGGCTTTCATTAATAATAATTTAGTTTTTTGTTAATAAATAAACTAGAATTGGGAAGTTCACACTGAAATATGTGCTTTAAGGTATCCATACAAATACACAAAAAAAGCTGTTTTTAAGTTTACAAGAAGTCTTATTTCTGACATATATTTTGACAACATGAAATAACTTAGTTTAAACAGCAATAACTAACCACTTATATACGTTTATTTTTATCAATTTACTACACTTTTAAGCTAGAATAGACAAGAGCAATATTAGATATAATATATATACAATTATAGACACCACCTGAACAATATTGCTATATTACAAAATACGTCCTACACAGTATAATACAAAAATAAAACTTTTAAAATAATTTAAGAAATACTGGACAAAATAACAATACAGCCGATTCATATGTCTTTAGGATGTTTGTAATGAATAACACGTTAAATTTAATCAGTGAATATTAAAATTATTTTTATGGTTATTTAGCTATAAAAGTCAAAAGAGAAAATAAGGTAAAAACAGCCATATATTAATTAAAAAAAAATCAGTAAAACGAATACAATCTAAAAGATCTACAAGTTACATCAAAATTAAGGTTTACCATGAAATTAATGTCAATTATTGACAAGCGATTTACTTGATAAAACAATGAAGAAATCCTTGGCAATAATCGATTTAGTATAAAAGAGGTAAACTTCATAATAAAATGATCGGTTTGCGGCTAAAATAAAAATAACAATAAAGAACACTCATGGGGCAAAAATGACATATTTTTGGATTGCACACAACACTTTTTTATGTCTAGATAGCCTTCAAAATTAAACCGCTTTAGTTTATTCTTAACTCACAAAAACAAATGTATAATATCTAAACCCAAAATACACTTTCCAAGAAATATATTTATTTTTACACTTAAGATCGAGTCTTAATCTACATAAGATTATGACCAAGATTTTATTTTAACATAAATAGAATCAACAAGCCCTTACATATAATTTTCTCGTGCATTTTGGTTTAGGTTTTATATACTTATTTGTCGAAAATACTTTTTTGAAGGTATCATAAATATAAGTCATATTAATCTCAAGATATGGGAATTTCATAAATAATGTTAATTAAACAACATTTCAATCTAATTCAAAAACAATAATATACGTACAATAAAATCCTTAATATACAATAAAATAGCGAGACTGTGATAAATTGAAATTCAAAAACAGTCTGGCACATGAGTATCATTTTTTTACACCGATGATATATCACAAATTTATAATTATGAAACGCAGTTTCATGTAGAAATGAATATTTTAACACACTTATATGCAAGCACGCGCTCAACCATTCATACACATATTATACTATTTTGTTGTCTATATAAAACTTCTTCAATAAAACAAGTAAGTATTGAATCAGATGTATACGGTTTAATTATAAGATGGAACAGGACGCAGAGCAGCAGCTACTGTTTCCTCCTTTACTTTTCTGTCGTTGATCTGAAATATTTACAAAAAAAAACACTGAAAATTTCTCCAAGTTAGTAACCCTTAGTATAGTAAATTGTTCACTTTGAAGAAAGATTAATGATCATTTGAAAATCAGTCATAGAGAACGATAATCAAGATCATTATAGATTACTAAGGTTACTGTTGTATGGTAACAGCATAAATATTGTAAAATCTCCTCTAATGTCATCAAAGCTGACCACTGATTTTCCAGTAAGATATGGAAACAGTAGTGATGGTTATTTGGCTAAATACCCAATAGGTTGGTAAATGAATTTGGGTATATACCTAAGTATACAGGGTTGTTCACCACATACGACACGAAGTATTGTAGCTAAACGATGAGATTTTTGCAAATTGTAAGTTTTGGGTTCGATGAAGGACTATTAGAGGTACAATTTAAAAATAATTTTACAAGATACAGAGTGTCCCAAATAAGTAAAGATTATCAAAGTTGTATTTTTTTAAATGGAACACCCTGTATAGTATTACATTTTTAGTTTCTACGATTAAAATAAAGGTAAATTTGATTAAGGTTTATTATACTTAAACCTTACCGTTTTTGAAATATTTTCAATTTTGTGAAATTGCAGTAAAAATTTTAAGGCTTCATTTCTCCAAGGGTATCAAAGTTTTTAATACTAAATATTTACTGAAGTTTATTTACTGATCAGTTATTGTGTTGCAATAATAAAAATAATACTACCTTATACACTTATACAGAGTGTCTAAAAATTTATTTTAAATAATTATTAGCTTCAAACGGCAATAACTTGTTTAATTTAAATAGAACACCCTGTATATTTTACGAGAATCAGATGCACAATTTAATTGTCTATCAAGTTATATTCTACCATTTTTTACCTATCTCTTTAAGTTTCCGTAGAAAATGCATTTTCTTGTAATTTAGAACTTATTTATCAATATACTCATGGACTGTTGACATTTTAGATTATTTTTAAAGATGTACCAAATTATATAATTATTTGATATAATTCGTTTATTTCATTAAAAAATAAAAAAAACTGTTGAAATATTTGTTAAAGAGGATCAATTAATATGATTCCAGTATTCAAACTACATTAACTGACTGTTTGCGTTGATTAATAATAATTGCTCCAAATACTAAAAAACTGAATTTTGTATGGGCATTAGACAGTGTGATAAAAAGTAACACCTTAAAAATGATATTTCATTTTTTAATAAATGCTTATTTATAACTACAGAGACTTTAATTTGATAACTTATTATTATATTGATTTCTGACTCAAATCCACATTTATTTATAATAATTTAATAACGAACACAATTAAGTATGTAATTAATTAGTATATGGGCGCAAATAATGGTGTTATATTTAATTAATGGTATACTCTTTTATAAAGATTTAAATAGTTTTCTTTTTGCATACAAATGGGCTAGTAATATTATCGTTTTGCTAAAAACGATAATATTACTAGTCTGTACATTTTGTACATTTGTTGCTTTAAAAACAATCTAAAATGTCAATATTCCATTGATATATTGATAAATGAGGTCTAAATTATAAGAAAATGCATTTTATACGAAAACTTGAAGGGATAGGTAAAAAATGGTATAATACAATTTGATAGACAATTTAATTGTGCATCTGATTCTCCTAAAATATACAGGGCATTCCATTTAAATTAAAGAAGTTATTGCCGTTTGAAGCTAATAATTATTTAAAATAAATTTTTAGACACTCTGTATAATGTAGTATTATTTTTATTATTGCAACACAATAACTGATCAATAAATAAACTTCATTAAATATTTAGTATTAAAAACATTGATACCCTTGGAGAAATGAAGCTTTAAAATTTTTACTGCAATTTCACAAAATTGAAAATATTTCAAAAACGGTAAGGTTTAAGTATAATAAACCTTAATCAAATTTACCTTTATTTTAATCGTAGAAACTAAAAATGTAATAATATACAGGGTGTTCCATTTAAAAAAATACAACTTTGATATTTTTTATTTATTTGGGACACTCTGTATCTTGTAAAAATATTTTTAAATTGTAGCTCTAATAGTCCTTCAACGAACCCCAAACTTACAATTTCTAAAAATCTCATCGTTTAGCTACAATAATCCGTGTCGTATGTGGTGAACAACCCTGTATATCTAGTACACCGGGAACGCCTCAAAAGTGGCTCACCCCTGTAACTTTTTTTTTTTTTCAGATAAAAAATTGAAATTTGGTATGTTAATATATGACATAAATTAGGATTAATTGACGTATTCGTTTGTTTTCTGTCACTTCCTGTTTCGCCGGAAATGACTACAACTTCTGATTTTTAAATAGTACCCTCGGTTTTTTGTTACTTTATTCGATAGAAAATGATACTCTGAATAGAATGGTCAATGGTTATTAGAAATTGCAACATGCTATTCATAACGACAATTTGACTCGAAATAATAATTATTCGTAAAACAATGATTTTTCCAAATATGCTAATGATCCACCCTCATTCCATTTGAAAAAATTGAGATATGATTAAAAATAAGATTTGGGCATCTTTTAATCGTCCAGGACAAGGCACTAAGAACATTAGACAATCAAATTTATTTTTCCAACCCAACCAGCAAATATAGTTCCCAGTCCTTTTTAAAATGTCACTGCCCCTAAAGTACAGTTCCTGGGCCCACTCTGCCACTTAAATGTTACTCTATAAGGAATAGTCACTTTGAAGTATAATTCGAGAGTGACCGGTTAGTCCCTACCTACCATAAAAGTGGAAAATAAGCACCCCGATTGCAAGTCGCAAACATGTAAATTAAAGAAGTGGCTGGAACTACCCGAATCTTCGAATATGACACCATAAAAGACCAAAAACTTTATAGTAATTTTTCAAAGTAGGGGTTACCAACAAGTGCTACCATAATGCCTCCATTAAGTTTTTGTTACTTTATAGTAACAATTTAAGTTACGGTGTAGCCGCGGCCACGCCATCTAGTTACTTCTAATTTATAGTAGCATTGACAGTAGCAAAATGGTTATTGCTACCTTCCTAGGTCACTATAAAGTAGCCGTCGTTCATCCATTGCCACTAAAAAGTCACGGGGGTCAAAAACGGCTACTTTATAGTGACCCGTAACTTAATATACCCTAATAAATGTAATTGCTTTAGATTGCATCGTGTGCTGCTCTGTTTTAGTGTTTTCTTTTACTTGTTTTTAAGCTTTATTAAAATTTTGTTAAATCCCTAAGGTGAATAAAAATAAATTTAGCTATTACTTTCTACCGAAGAATTAAACAAAAGGAATCACTGCGAGCCGATGCATCAACATCAGAAACAAAAACTACATATTTTTATAATCCTACTGATGAACATCATAAATCAGGTAGTGACTGAGACATTTTTGAAGCTGTTTCTGTAGATGAGTGTAGTGTTAGTTCATTTGAAACTGAATTTCAGAGGAGAACTAATTTGAGAACCAACAACAATATAAAACAAGAGCTAAAAGAGTGGGCGTTAAAATACTCTATACCTCATGTAGCTCTGAATAATATAGAAACACTAATAATAGAAAATGCACAATAAGTAAAAAATAACTTCAAAGGACAAGGCCGAACGTTATAGTGGCACCAATGGAATGTATAGTCGCCACCACCGCGATCAGTGTAGCAACGCTCCAATTAAGTGGCAATGTGGTGGCGCAGGGAACTTTCTTGGAAAAATCACTTTATGGTTCCAAAGAATCGTTGACCATGTAGTTCTAAAAAAGTTATTGTTTCTATAAATTCGCCTTTGGATAGCTACAATTGTCACTTTATCAAACCGAAGATTTTAAAGGTCCAAACGGGTGGGATTGGCCTAATATGTTATTTTTACTTTGTGGAAGCATATGGAACTATAAAGTATTTTTCGGATTAAACGGCCATATTTTTTTCATGAATTTTTAGACGAACTGCCAAATGGCTCAAACATTATGCGTTTTTAAGCTAAATACACCTAGATTAAAGCTTTTTTCCTTAGTTATTTTGTTATTTCTGACGGTGGACTAATATTTTAAAGTTTGGCCCCGGTTTCAAGCAAATTATTATTATTTTTTAATTACAAACATGAGTCTTGTAAATAATATAATAATTTGAAATATTTTGAGAGGCGCTCGAAAATTTTGTTATATAAACCCACTATTTTATTCAGTAAAGTTGATTGCGTTCTGGAATTTACCTAAAAAAGGCGTTAAAATCTCACGGTAAATAACAAATAACGAAAAAATAATAGTGGCTTCCATAATTATTTTCCATCATGACATTTATTTCTATGAAATGTGAAATTGCATGAAGAGGTCGCTGCGAATAAAGCTCAACAGTTTAATGAAAGTTCCACATGTCGGTGGCTAACACTTGGCTGCCACGAACCCGCGACTAGCCAGATTCGTAACGGATAAGTCGCATTCACCAGTAGGCTACTTTATAGTAACACATCATAGTAACTGTTTTAGTGGCAAAAACTACCCAAGACACTACCCGGCTACTCAAAATCTTTCCCCATTTTGGTCGCAGTTACTTAGCAGCTACGAATATACGACGTAGCCGCCGATGGTCACCGCCCACTTTATAGTGGCTTTGATAGTAGCAGTTACGTATCTGCCACTATAAATGCTAATTGGGAAGGCTCCTTGATTGAAAAATAGTGTTTTTAACACAGCCATGGCACTCTAGATTGAAATTTAAAATTCAATTTTGTTTTAAGCAAAAATGTCTAAAGTTGGCATATGATATGTCATTCTATTCAGAATGCCATTTTCTATCGAATGAAGTAAAAAATACCGAGGGTGCCATTTCAAAATCAAAAGCTGTAGTAATTTCCGCCGAAACGGGAAGTGACAGAAAACAATTGAATATGTCAATCAATCCTAATCTATATCATATACTAACATACCAAATCTATCTCGTTTGTTTATCTGAAAAAATAAAAATGTTATAGGGGTGAGTCACTTTTGAGACGCACCCGGTA